AAACGTCCTTATAATGATCCTACCAATTATTTTGCCTTTTATGAAGAGGCTTTCAATGACCTCGATTGGTTACTTCTGCGAGTAACTGGAATATAAATAAAAACAAAAGCTCTCTTGATACGGTACTGTCGGGCGGGCCATGGAGCCATACTAATCAATAGATTAGGTTACATTAATCGTAATAAATATATATAATATTATATCTCAATCCAAAACTTTAAAGTATTTGATTACGAGTTCTTTTACTTATGTAAACTCCATTTTTTATTTTTTCTAGTATAGTATATGAACTCCATTTAGTCTTTTAGTTGTGCAACCCACGTTGATATGCTCCTTTAATGGAAGTCAAATCCATCTAGCCAAACACTTGCTTAGTCCGAGTCTAATTTGGCTCTGATACCATGGTTAGGCGGCTAAGAGGTGCATAATAAAAGACCATCACCCATGAATTAAACTATACAAATATGTTCAATATCACTTCTCAACTAAATATGTTAAATACAATCATTTTCTCCTATTAGTGACTTATGACATAAGTGGGTCTTATCTTGATTTTTTTTTTGTTTCAATCATTTTGTAGACTCCACTTATGCCATGAGTCACTAGTAGAAGAAATATTTTCTCCTTTTGTAAAGAACTCACCTTGATTTCTCCTCACGCAACAATTCTTTAGACTTGAAACATGGATATTACATAGGTTCAATTTTTTTATTTTATTTTTATTTTACTTATGCTTATTTAATTTCACTAGAAGTTGGAGGAAGATGAGGATCGAATTCATGATCTTGTGAACATGTAAAGAATTAATTCAACACAAAACCTTAAGATGTTAGGTGAGGATCTTTTTAATAGTTTATATTATTCTCTAATACCTTTAAAAGGAGAAAATGTTTTGTCATATTTTAAAGCATTAGATTTATCACACGTACCATACCATCCTGCTATCTTATTGCATTAGGCATAAAAATTTTGGAATCATGATGATAATAACGATACTAAAACGAAATCGCATGATAACTAATATACGTTCTATCTGTTTGAGAATACATTTAAACGTAGCGTGTAAGTGTATAGTAAATTATTTAACATTATTTTAATTATACGGTTTGTCTAAAATCATCTGTATTTACTTTTTCTCTTTAGGTACGCAATGCACTTGTTGGTCACTAGTAACAACTAACAGATCCAACAGTGAATACTACGGAATTCGGCATGCATTTCTATATTGCTTAAAGCTACATGAGCTTAACTAATTGATTTTGTGCATGTTGAAGGGGTTTGTCCACCATACCAGTTTTTATATTAACCTTTTTCAACCTGAACCTGATCAAACGATGATGATCAGGTACATATACTCACTCTCTCAAGAAGGCCAAGAAAAAAAAATTAATTATACTTTAATAAAATTATATTAACAAAATCAAATAAAGTAAACAATTAGTTATAATATATATACTCACCAAAATAGGTCTGTGTCTCTGATATTTGGGTGGTAGAAATTTAAAAGAAATGTATCCAAAAAAAAAGAGTAAAAGAAATCGGTATATACCAGACCGTTGATAATCAACAAAAATTTTGCAAACATTTAGAAAGATATGAACACTGAAAAGCAAATGAGGCGCCGACCGCGCTGTGGCTTCAATTCCCAGTGATTCTCTTTTTGTCTTTCGTTTATTTGGTCTTCAACTCGAACTATAGATTACAGCTGTGAGTCTAGTTATAAAATCAGTCAGGAGGTTGCTGTGGCTTAACTTTTATTTAAAAGAAGGGGATAATGAAGATTGAGTTTTATATTACATGATTATAAAAAAAATTATACTGTATATGGATTCTTTTTAATTGTTTGGTAAAGATCATTAATAATTTATATGCTTAATTTAAACATGAGTTTGTTTTTCCTGCGGTTATTGCAAATAGATTATCTGCATAAGCTTAATACGACGTCATTTTAGAACAAATATCATGGTGTTTTTATAATTTTAATTTATTTCAGAGTTATTATAGTCTTTATAATTATAATTTTTTAATCTTTCAATCCCAAAACGACATCGTTTTAGAAGTAAATGCAAATAACTTATTTGCAGAAATATTTTTTGTTTAAATATTTAGTAAAAGCTTCAATATGATTCTTTCTCGGATTAAACTTTAATTAGACATATACTAATGGGGTTAATTTTTCTAAAGATTCTTTTATGCACAAACATCATATAATGGGACCCATCAAGTTAAAAAAAAATAAAGGATAGGAATTTCGGTGTGTGTATAAGAGAAAATCTTCTCTAAAATGAGAAAAGATGAATATTTTCAATTTTAAATTTATGAATTTTTTTCATTCAATACTTTCATGTTGTATATCAAACATTTGATAAAAGAAAGAGATATATTTTTTTTATGTTGTAGGAAAAGAATTACCTCATGTTGTAGAAATAAAAGTATAAGTGGGACCCACATGTAAGAGGAGAGAGAGAGAGAAAAAAGTGGTGGGACCCAACCCTTTTTGTGTGTGTAGGAGAGATGTTTATCTCATGTAAAATAAGATAAACATAATCCTAAAAGAAATGCTAGATTTGGAGTAAAGATAAGAATGAAGAAAAGTGCTAAATGGCGGCAGAAAGCAGACAAAACTTCTGCAACACATAATGGGCGGCTTCCAAAGAAAACCGAACAAAGCTTTTCATCGATGTTTTTCCGAGAAAACTGAAGTGGATACTTTGTCCTGTGTTCATCCATCACCACACGTGCAGACCTATACTGTATCCACTATCCATATTGTGGGACATGATACGATGTGATATACAAATATGTAAATTTTAAAAATATTTAGTGGTGATATTAAATAATATTTTTAATATATATAATATAATTTATATTTAATATATATAGTGTCTAATAATAAGTTATATAATTAATGAAATATTTAAATTTCATAATATAAATATAAAGTAAAAATAATTTTTCATGCATTGTTAATTTTGTGTCAAATTCAATAATAAAAAATATTTAATTTAATAAGTTAATTTTTTATATTTAATTACAAGAATAACATAAAATAAAATTGGAATATACATAAACATTAACGATATGTCAAAAAATGTTAACTAGTATCAAAAAAATATGTCAGAGCATTAATTGTATATTCTAAAATATTGGCTGCATGTGAGATGCCGACATACATTTTTCTGAGAGGAAAAAAAAGCGTGTCCGTAGTTCAAAGGTGCACACTATAGTAGTGATATTCCAATTACCCATATCCAAATCTATAAAAATAACACCATTTTTAATTCTTTGAACTTTGATATCCCACCAATTTTATTTTATTTTCACATTCTTCCCCTTTAAAAATTTGGAAAACATTGACCATGCAATGAAAATAAAAAAGTTACCATGAATGATAAAAATAACAGTATTCAACTCATAGCGTGTAAAAAAAAGTTTTGACAATAAATAAAGGATTTTGTAAGAGTTATGTTGTAGGAAAAGTGATTGTGTAATATTATAGAGATTCATTTTGCGTGCAGTAGTTTTTTTTTTTTTGCTTCAAACAATATGAGCCCCACAAAATATTGTGTATGTAGAAAACTTTTTTGTGTCATGTTAAATGATGAATACAAACTCCATAAATAAAAGGATGCTGATCCTACGTCATATTCACTCTGGTTTTGAACTTTGAGATGAAGTCAGAAGCTTTGTTCCGTGATGCTGACCTTACTTGTAAGCGAAGCTATATTCTCAACCAACGAGCACTTCATTAAACATGTAAATTAAAATTGGAGAAGGGATAACATTTTATTGTAATTCAACGACCTGCCCTTTCTTGATCTCTGATTTCCCTTGGACCTGACTCCACTTTGTTTTGATGTCTCTGATTTTTCAATCAATTCCCTTTGAATAATGTGTGATACACTCAAGCTATTTCAGTTTTAGTCCGTTTTATAAAATTAACAGCTCAACTAAGAGTAAAAACTGTCAAGCAACTCTCGAATAGTTAAACAGCCTAACAACGATTTGACTTACTAATTATTTGTAGCAAAACGCCAATCTCCGCAGTGATTTCGTTGAGATTACAAATTACACAGCCAAATTTTTAATAGATTCGAATCTAAATTATCGTCATTAGTTGATAAATTATGCATCGTGATTTTCTCTTTTTTATTATGGCCACAGATCTTTACACTGATCTGATCCAGAATACAACATAGAATTTTGGACCCCCTAATCATTTTATTGGCCAAGATAAGTTATGCTTGCCACATAAACATTAGAAAATGTTACACCTAAAAAAAAGAAAGTCAATATTGTGTACTCTAACATAACCCATATGTCCTATTTATTAATGTCTAACAAGTAGGACCAACCGCACCCCGGAAGCAGAGTAACGAATGCCCATCCTAATGTTGGACTATATGCATATGGCATTAACGCGTCCAATCCTCTACAAACACATAATATATATTTTATTGTATTTCGTTTTCATTTTTACATGAAGATCGAGCATAACTTTTTACACACATCCATAAACATGTGAATCGTGCACAAGAATCAGTTATTATTAATGCTACATTAATCGGAAGAAAAATAAATGTCGACGTAAAAAGTAAAACCAAACAAAAATACTGTAAAACAAACATTAGAAACAGACCCCATCGTTTTGAATTTGCTAAATTGATTTGGTGATAACTACGCAAGTAGATACGTAGGGTTCAAAAACGCATTCGGTAGGTGGATTCCTAGGTTGTTAATTTCATAAACTGGCTTAGAGATCTCTTTTTTGTTAGTCACCAACTTTAATTGAAATCTCACCAGTCAAGTTGCTTCATTTCCAAAAAACTATTACCCCCCCAAAAAAAATACATTATGGAAAATGCAATCACCAAAGGGCCAGCTAATAGCTAGCTCTATCTATTACAACAGCTAACTATATATATTGTTCCCTCCATCCCATAACTTCTCAAACTACCAAACCAACACTCTTTTATTTTTATTATTTTTTTCTTTCCTAAATGGCTTCCATCTTCTCACCCCTCATAACAATCCTCCTCCTCCTCCTAATTTTTGGTGGTGAGGCACGTGACCCTTTCGCCTGTGACCCAAAGAACACCGCCACAAAGAACTTGCCGTTTTGTAAGGCGTCGTTGCCAATACCAGCAAGGGTGAATGACCTAATTGGAAGGTTGACGCTACAAGAAAAGGTTAACCTCCTAGTGAACCATGCCACGGCGGTTCCACGGCTTGGAATCCAAGGCTACGAGTGGTGGTCTGAGGCACTCCATGGGGTTTCAAATGTGGGTCCCGGAACCAAGTTTGGTGGCCAATTCCCTGCCGCCACTAGCTTCCCTCAAGTCATCACTACCGCTGCTTCATTCAACGCGTCCATGTGGGAAGAAATTGGACGGGTGAGGTTTTCTTTTGCATACAATCCAATCAAAATAAAAAAGGCATTTAGAAATAATTAGTATATATATATATATATATATATATATATATATATATATATATATATACTGTAAAATATTCTTATTACTAATCTATTGTTATTTTTCAACTGTTGAATCCCATTTTTTGTTGACAATTTGTGAAAAATTTCTGAAAAAAAAAAATTAAGTACTCTTGAAAATACATAATTATATTAAATTAGTAGTAAATTGATAATAGAAATATTTTATAGTAAGAATATCCTACCTCTTTATATAATTTCATATTAGAATCTTTATCAGAAAAATGTATAAACTTTAATTAGTGTAAAGTGGTAAAATTAATATGGCTAAGAATAATGATTATTTTTCAAAATAATCATTATTAATACATTTTGATTATTAATTATTGAAATTTATTAATCTGTAAAACAATATTTTAAAATAAATTTAACGAGCATAATATATTACTGTGCCTCGAGTTTTGCTTTGCTCTCTGTCATTTGCTGAGATTTTATTCTCTTTTCGTTGTGTTGTGTTGCCAACATAGCTTTGGGGCTTTGCTTCTGTTTTCTAAGATGGATGGAATACTTAATTGTAAGACCAGCAGTCTTATCACTGTACGTATACAAGTGCGTCTGAAGGTGTCAGACATTAATTTAATTATCTACCATGACTTTTATGCTCAACAAGAATCTTACGCAAATTTTCAAAATTAAATACTCTTGAAAAAAAAAAAGTTCACGATAACCAATAAAACGGAGCTCACTTTCTTTATTCAACACATCCTGTTTAAGGTTGCTTCCTTGCAGTAATAAGAATTGTGTTTGAATAAAATTTCATAATTAAAAGTGACCTATATTACCACTGAAAATAAGAATAATGCGAAAGAATATTAAATTGGGGTGCAATGTACTTTAACTTATGAATTTGGTATTATTTTTTTGGCCCTACGTTTGTTTATGCTTTTCCTTTTAAACTCCAAAAAAACAGGTGATATTTTCAACCAAATCCGTGATGGGTTCGGTTTTTTTCTTCTTCTTTTTTCCTGTTTCGCTTAGTGATGTTGGTTCACTTCTCAAGTTGATTATATCATTGAGACTGGCGTACCAGCAACCATTTTACCAAGTTTGTCACCCTTTCCTAAGCAACTTGCAAATCATGTCAGTGACCATTTCATCAAGTTTGTGAGGCCTTTTGGTTTTAGGGGCTGCCTTGTAGGCTTTTTAAAAGAGAAAATCTTATGCATGTACCAAAAAAAGAAGAAGAGAAAATCTAACGTTGGGGGGTAATTCGCAGGTTGCCTCAGACGAAGCAAGGGCAATGTACAACGGAGGAACGGCTGGGCTAACGTACTGGAGCCCAAACGTTAATATTTTTAGGGACCCACGGTGGGGCCGTGGACAGGAGACTCCCGGTGAGGACCCCATGCTAGCCGGTAAATATGCTGCCAGTTACGTGAGGGGACTTCAGGGAACGGACGGTAGCCGGTTGAAGGTGGCTGCTTCTTGCAAACACTTTACGGCTTATGACCTTGATAATTGGAACGGTGTGGATCGCTTTCACTTTAATGCAAAGGTACGCTACTACGCTTTATCAAATGGTACGGGGAAATTTGGATTGGGAATATGGGAATCTTCTTAGATGTGGACCCCTCTTGTTGATATTATGCACTTGCTGAGCTAGCTTGGTACTTTTATGCATGCCATATTCTCCACTCTAGCACTTTTGGTAGACCAAGATGATTCGTAGGATATGTGCGTCATTTATGCTTTTCTTTTTTCTTATTCTTTTGATTATTAAAATGTGTCCTGTGAATCTGTGATTGATCGAATAACAATATATGTTGTTGAACCAAAAAACAAATAAGCATTAATCATACAATAAATGTTGATAACTATTTAACACATCGATAATCAAGTATAGTTCTAGTGTAGGTTTTCACCTGTAGATATAATGATATTGTATTAATTTTACAACTAAGGAATGACCCCGATGATTAGACGTCAAATATTTTTTTTTTCTTCTGTCGCTTATATCCTAAAAAACTTGATATGCAATGTAATTAATCAAATATTTTTCAACTTTTTTTATTTAACTCAATTCTAACCACATCAATCTGTGCATAGCATGTTAGAATTTAACCCTCAGTATGTAACCTTGAAAATCTAACGATTTAATGATAGCTTATATTAAATTAACAATATTCTGTGCTTGTTTGAATTGTTTTTTGCACTATATTCTTGAGGATTGATCATAGATTCATAGTGTCGGGCCATCAGCCATGGATGCCTTTTGTAGTTTTGTTTACAACTTTCCACAGCCCTTATCCAAACAAGGATGACACCACCTAATATTGTAATATTAATTTGAGTAGAACCTTACTTTTTAGCTCCGTGTACAGGTTAGCAAGCAGGACATAGAGGACACGTTCAATGTGCCATTCAGGATGTGCGTGAAGGAAGGCAAAGTGGCGAGTGTGATGTGTTCTTACAATCAGGTTAATGGGGTCCCTACCTGTGCGGACCCCAACCTCCTAAAGAGAACAGTTCGCGGCCAATGGGGTCTTAATGGGTAAGCTTACAAACAATGCCAAAAGGCTCATTGGATGGTCATCACCTTCTATCAAAGGAATTATCTCAAACTAATAAAATTATTTTTCGCTTTGGTGTGGTGTAGGTACATTGTATCGGACTGTGACTCAGTTGGGGTGTTCTACACTAGCCAGCATTACACATCAACGCCAGAAGAAGCTGCTGCCGATGCCATTAAAGCAGGCTAGTCACTAAATCGAATTAATTCGGTTCATTTATTCGACATTAATAAATCATTATTAAGAAAAATGTGTAGCCGAATGAAGAAGTGGGGACAAATTTTTGGTACATTGGATGTACCAAAATCGGTACATTTTTTTTCATATTTGAATATAAAAATTCATCATTTTTTAATTTTATTTTTCTTGTCACATAAAAATTTCTTTTGGTAAAAAGATGTATACATCTGATATGCACCAAAGATTTATTCGAGAAGCTGGAAGATAAAATGTCATGATATTTGATCATGTTTCAGGTTTGGATTTGGATTGTGGGCCTTTCCTGGGATTGCATACGCAGAATGCTGTCCAAAAAGGCATGTTAAGCGAAGCTGACGTGAATGGTGCTTTAGTGAACACACTGACAGTACAAATGAGATTAGGGATGTTCGATGGTGAGCCATCAACTCACCCATATGGGAACCTTGGTCCAAAAGATGTGTGCACTCAATCTCACCAAGAGCTGGCTCTTGAAGCTGCAAGACAAGGGATTGTGCTTCTTAAGAACAGTGGACCTTCTTTGCCTCTCTCCTCACGGCGTCACCGCACCGTGGCTGTCATTGGGCCCAATTCTAATGTCACTGTCACAATGATTGGCAACTATGCTGGTTGGTCCTTTTTTTTATATTCCCTTAAAATCAACTCTAACTATGGACCCAAATAAAGAGACAAAAAGAAAAAGCAACTCTAAATGTTTCTTTACCTTCTTTTTATTAGGTATTGCTTGTGGATACACAAGTCCCTTACAAGGAATAGGAAAATACGCCAGGACTATTCACGAGCTGGGTTGTGAAAATGTGGCTTGTACTGATGACAAGCAATTTGGGAGGGCTCTAGATGCAGCTCATCAAGCAGATGCGACTGTTCTAGTAATGGGTCTGGACCAGTCGATTGAGGCTGAAACCGTTGACAGGGCTGGGTTGCTTCTTCCAGGGCGTCAACAAGACCTTGTCTCAAAGATAGCAGCTGCCTCGAGAGGCCCAACAATTTTGGTTATAATGTCTGGTGGGCCTGTTGATATAACTTTTGCAAAGAATGATCCTCGAATCGTAGGCATCTTGTGGGCTGGTTATCCGGGTCAAGCTGGTGGAGCTGCCATTGCAGATATCTTGTTTGGAATTACTAACCCAGGTTTGTCATAAAATCAATAGTAGGCCCAAATAGGTATAAATGTAAATTTCATATATTACAATATCATGTTTCAATTTCAGGCGCCAAGCTACCTATGACATGGTACCCACAAGGATACCTACAAAACTTGCCAATGACAAATATGGCAATGAGATCAAGCCGAACCACAGGGTACCCTGGAAGAACCTATCGATTTTACAAAGGTCCAGTGGTGTATCCATTTGGTTATGGATTGTCTTACACACACTTTGTTCATACATTGGCTAGTGCCCCTAAATTGGTCTCAGTTCCCGTGGATGGCCACCGTCACGGAAATAGCTCGAACATTTCAAGCAAGGCAATTAAAGTGACACATGCACGATGTGGCAAGCTTTCTATTACACTTCACGTCGACGTTAAAAACGTTGGCTCCAGAGATGGCACTCACACGTTGCTAGTGTTCTCGGCACCACCCGCAGGTAATGGCCATTGGGCACCACACAAGCAATTAGTGGCCTTTGAGAAAGTTCATGTTCCTGCTAAGGCTCAGCAGCGAGTGCGAGTCAATATTCATGTCTGCAAGCTCCTAAGTGTGGTTGACAGGTCTGGGACTAGGAGAATTCCAATGGGGGATCACAGTTTTCACATTGGCAATCTTAAACACTCTGTATCACTTCAAGCAGAGACACTTGGAATTATCAAGTCCTGAATTTTTTTTTTGGGGTAAGATTGATCCATTCAATCACGGTTCATGGTATTTGGTTCATGCCAAATCTACATTGAGTATCTGCTAGACAACCTCAACCTCTACATGAGATAAGTGTATATTAGATTAATAGTATGCCAGGGAGATTTGAAGTTTTACCCTTTTCAACTACCTACATCGGGTTTTGGTTCTAAGGAACCATCAATTCAAACCGCAAATTGTTGATATCACAATTATAGCACCGAAGAGAGGACATGCTAGATTGGTTCCTCAGTCATAGTCAAATAAAGAAATTGGGTTTGGTTGCAATTTTTTGGAGAAGAGATCAACGAAATGTATTGTTCTCTGCCCTCCGATTCCTTTCTACTTTGTTTACTATATTTTTTGTCTGCATTATTACAAATGCAGGACATTAGGATTGTTTTCTTTTGTTAACGCAACTGTAAGATTGGTAGTAAGAGTGGGCTTCTTTTATCTGTTTTATTTCTTGTCATTACAAATAAAAATTGATTCTTCAAAAAATTCTAAATGATAATACCTTATCTCTTGATTATTATCTTTTTTCCTAAGATATGATTGTACAAATGATTTGATTCCGGAACCATGAAGCGGACATAAGACATTGCCCAATTTCTGTGCTTCTTAGCAGTACCTTCCACTGATATTTAATTGCAAGAACCAGTATGTGTCTTTCCTTTTCACCCTACATGAGTACTTATTTCATGTGCGTTATATGTGGACATAGTCATATGAAAAAGTATAATTCGATAAACTTTGTATTCACAAACTTTCCATTGACTTCCATATAAATTCATTGGAATGACATCACGACCCACTATAAAATTGCCCAAGGAGGTTGAGTACAAGGAAATTTTATGTATAAAAATTAGTTTCACCTGTTATTTGATATGGAGCATTTTGGGAGGCCTATTCATTGCAACGTTGCATACATACCCCATAGTTTCTCTTTTTGATTAAAAAATAGAAGTCTAGGGGGCAATTGCCCTCTTTGTCTTAAGATGTTACTGTCAGTAGTGTAATACTGATTTTCTTAATCGAAAATGTATTTTTTTTTTTAATACTAGAGTCGAGTCAAAGTAACCTATCCATTACCTACGGAGGTTTTTCTAACCATGTCCTATGCTCGCACGCTTTAGCATAATGACCAAGAGAATCAGCTCCTTGTTACATCCCCGTGGTCTATAACAACATTTAATCCTATCAAACCAAGATGCAATGAGGAAAAATTTTCTAAGAATAATTCCTATATTCAATAGCGAACCCAGAAAAAAAATTTATGTTTGCACATATAATGTCGCTGAATTTTTTTTTAAAATTTTTTAAATACATTAAAAAACAAAAAACAAAACAATAAAAGAAAACAAAATGATAACTGTTTCACAATGTTTAGTGTGGGTCTGCTAAAAAACTTCAGCGCCACACTTGCAATAGTAGAAGTGAGTTGCAAATGATAATACGTGTATCAAAAATTTGTGTCCGCAAGTGCCCACACTTACAATAGTGTGGATCCGCCATTGATAGGAGTATTCTATCACATCACTACGAATACTATTATATACGTTTTTGTATCACCTTCAAGAATCACATTCTGAAACCCACCTTCAATCTGTATTATGTATAACACGTTTCTCCCACACAAGCTTATATCCACTTTAGAAAGAACACACGATCCCTTTCTATCAAAGTACTAAAAAGGAGAGTCCTTCCTCTTGAACTAGTGCACCATCCTCTTGAATAAAAAGTTCAACAGTGAGATTAGAGTTCCATCATCACAAATTCTCCAAAAGCAACTAATTACCATCACTAAAGTAATATCAATTATCCTAGGATTTTTTATTGAAAAATTAGGTTGCCTAAGAGATCCTAGGGTTGGACCAACTGTTTGTTGAAGGCCCATCTTCCTTGCGTCAAACAATTCCCATCTCAAGCACCTTCATTCTCCACTAGGCTTGCCAAGTGAAGGAGGAATTGACCCCCCACATGTGTAATTAGAAAGTTCACAGCTGGATAATGTTTGGCAAAAATCCAAAAAAAAAAAATATATATATATATATATATATATATATATATATATTGGTAATTAAAAATAATATATTAATATGACGTTCTTTTTATCTTTGCATTTAAATTTTTAACGATATTAGTCTTTTAGAGTATAATCTTTTTGCCTTTTATGACGAATTCAACAAAAATGTAATCCTTTTGCTGTGAAGGGATGCAAGAAAACCGTATCAAATTCTATTGGTTTTTGCTTTTTCTAGACAGATTTTAATACGACACTCTAATTATATTTGCATATAAATTCTTAACGATATTAGTTTTGTTCTCAAGCGAAATGTTAGCAAAGTATATTTTGTATTGCTTTTTATAGCGAATTTAGCAGAAGTGTTGTCCCTTTGCTATGATTGGAATGCAAGAAAGCAGAAAAGCATATTGCTGGAGGGAAAAGATTACACTTGGCTAAATGTAAAATATAAAAAATGGAAAAGATAAAGGGGGGGCATGTGGGAAATTATTTTATATGAATTGTTGAACAGCTTTCTATTTTTCCAAATCGGGAAAGAATAACCAGAATGGGAAGGAGGGTGTCAGTACTTGGCTTCGTACAAGGTGAGCCTCCTATCTTTAATCTTTTATCGAGAGATGGAGAAGAGCTATGAAGACAATCATGTGACATGTAAACCAATAATGATCCACACTGATAACTGAAGCTGGCATGTGCTTGGCCAACAAAAGCTCAGGTCTAAATTGTTGGGCTTCCTCCTTCAATGTTAAGCCCAAGCCTATTTGAGGGGTTTCTTAAAAATTCTAACCCTAATTTCCACTTCCTCTATATATACTCATTAGTTGAGGGTGGAGGCTAGGTTAGATTTTTGAGAGGTCAGATTTGAGAGAACAAATTTGAGAGAATTATTTGATTGTTTGAGCAAAGTTTTATGCTTTGCATTTTAGAGATCTCTGGAGAGAGTTTGAGTGAAACATCTCTAGGGTAGTTTGATTCTCACCATTGTTGGAGAGGTTGAGTTAACCACCACATTGATGTATTTGATTATTTGTAACCATTATTTTCATAGTGGATTTCTGATCTGGACTAGGTCCCGTGGGTTTTTTACTTCCTCATTCAAGAAGGTTTTCCCACGTTAAATCTGGTTGTGTTCTTCTTCTCTCTCCCCTATTTTTGTTTTGATTTTTCCGTTGCGCTGCCTGATGTAAGAACCCGCACCGTTAATTAAGGTATTTAATTAATAAATTACGAGAAAATAGGAAATGATTCCATACCTGACCCTAATAATTATTTATGAGGCTTAATAATCGTAATAAGTGATTAAGAACGCTGAAAGTCACTTTTCGGAAGAAAAGTGCAGACACTGGTTCTGCTAGTCGGTATAAATGCGTGCCGAAAAAGTATCTCAGAAAATTAATGTAAGTGCATGATAATTACTAGAATAATATGTAGGACTTTTAAAACGAGTTTCAAGTCCAGATAATGAGAACTGGTGCTGGAAACCGGTACTGGCTTGGAAAAGCGCGTACCGGAAAAGTGCTCAGAAAATTATAAGAAAAATATCATAAATCTTAAAAAATTATGTAGTTTCATAATCCAAAGTTTGGGATTAAAATGATAAGCGTAGAAATTAAAGTTAATACTGTGTGTTTAAGTGCGTTTGGGCTATATATACTCCTTTTAAGGGCACAAAGCCCTAGATACCAGACTTTGAGCGTGAGTTGTTGGTGGAGGCTGACCAGTTTCTGTTCCTTTGGCCTTCTCCCTCATTCTTGAGCCAAGTTGTGACCTTTATTGGTTTTCTTCACCCTTTCTTCTTGTATACACTTGGGTGGTGATGGCCAACCTTGAGATTATTCTGGGCATGGATTGGTTGTCTAGAAACTGTGCATTGATTGATTGATGTGCAAAGCGCGTGGTGATGTCTCCGTGTGATTCCACAGCTAGTTCCTCGCCATACATTTCACTGCTGCAGGCCAGAAGAGCGCTGCGAGCAGGGGCATTGGGTTATGTCATGTTGGGTGGTTTGGTGAGTGGGACACAGGAGGATATCACTGGCATTCCTGTGGTGGGGGAGTTCCTTGAGGTGTTTCCTGAGGAGATTCCTGAGTTTCCGCCACAGCGGGAGATAGAGTTCTCCATTGACTTGTTGCCCGGTGTGGGGCCGATTTCTTTAGCTCCTTATCGGATGTCGCCACCGGAGTTGGCTGAGCTGAAGAAGCATATTGAGGATCTTTCGGCGAAATATTTCATTAGACCGAGTGTATCTCCTTGGGGAGCACCGGTCATCTTCGTGAAGAAGAAGGACGGGACAATGCGATTGTGCACCGACTACAGGCAGTTGAACAAGGTGACAATCAAGAACAAGTATCCTCTTCCTCGGATTATTGATCTGTTGGATCAGCTCAGGGGTGCTTGTGTGTATTCCAAGATTGATCTCCGGTCCGGATACCATCAGATTCGGGTGAAGCCGGAGGATGTCCCGAAGACCGCGTTTCGTTCGAGATACGGTCATTTTGAGTATTTGGTGATTCCGTTTGGACTCGCAAATGCGCCGGCAGTGTTCATGGATTACATGAACAGGATTTTCCAGCCGTATCTGGATCAGTTTGTGATTGTCTTCATTGATGATATTCTGATCTACTCCAAGACTGAGGAGGAGCATGTGGAGCATCTGAGGATAGTTCTGCAAGTGCTGAAGGAGAAAAAGCTTTATGCTAAACCTTCTAAGTATGAGTTTTGGCTCAAATCAGTCAAGTTTCTGGGGCATGTGATTTCAGCAGATGGAGTTGCAGTGGATCCCAACAAGATTGAGGCCGTGTTGGATTGGGAGAGACCCAAGACAGCTACGGAGGTGAGGAGCTTCTTAGGTTTGGCAGGTTACTATCGGAGGTTCATCAAGGGTTTTTCCACGATGGTTCTCCCTTTGACTCGCCTTACCCGAAAGGAGACGCCATTTGTGTGGACTCATGAGTGT